CTATCCGTATCCTAGGTCCTGTGATTTTAATTCATGTCAGGCTTCTGAGATGGAACACCATCTTCAGAAGCCTCCCTAGACAGGCCATTCTGATGTTTCCCCAAGAAGAGCCAATGTATCGATGGAAGTGTGAGATTGAACCTCAGTCATGTGCACTTCCAAAATATGCATAAAACCTCTGTGACTCACATGAACTGAGAGGCAGTTCTGGCAAGGGAAGCCAGCTCTTCAGAGGTGTTTTCCTGACGTTCTTATGATTAAATGCACCGTGTCCTTTGTGGACATTAATATTCCCCATCTGGGGCAGAAGTCCTTATCGGAGAGTCTGGCTGGCTCACAGCATGCTCTGCGACTCACAGTGCACTCCGGATAGGATAAACCATAAAGGGCTAGCCACAGAGGCTCAGAAACAGGTGTCTGTCTGGCTTTAGTTCTGGAAAGGTGAGCTCTTTTAGCCTCAGGATGTTGCCTAACCCATTCTATGTAGGGCATTTAAATCTCCCAGCTCCCTTCCAAGCACCTGAAAAGCAAAACCAAGCAGAAGAAGGGAAGAGTAAGCCACATGAGGATGAATTAGTGGAAACCCAGGATGAGAGGAAAGAACGCAACACATTGCCTTCCTACTCAGCCATGCTGTGGGCTCCATACTTACATGGTGACAGTGGACATCTCTTATAGTGAGTGGAAGAGAGAGAAGCAAGCAAGGACTTGGAGAAGACAAAAGAGAATCTGTTTTGTTTTTTTCAACCTTGAGGTTTCAAAAATCAAACAAGGATTCTATAACAAATAAAAGCCACCTGGCCCATCTTACCCTTCCCTGTCTTTGCATTTCTTTAGCTTAGCTAACCCTATAAAAATATCTATTAAACAGAATTATCATTAAACTGTACCTCAGGGTATTGAAATGCCTTGTGAAAAGTAATTCTCATCTGCTAAGTGATGAAGCTGGACCGGAGGCTGGAAAACACAAGCACCCATGTGGACTATGCTCCATATTATCTGACAGTTTGAAATACTCCAAGGGCTCTGATTGCAGTCTGTGGAGACCCTGGGGAGCAGACACAGGATCTGGATGGGTCCACACCACATTCCTCAGTGTCATTTTTCAAGACAAGGTGGGAGCTAGAACCATGAAGAAAACAGATTAAGGCACGTTGCTGAGAAAGGAGCATCCACATTCGAGTGACTGCCTTGGCATGGGAACCTGGTGACTGTAAGAGGTTGGCCTCTAAAAGCCCACTGCCTATGTTTGGATGCCTCCTCCATCAGGTCATCATGTCCCAATCCTGGATTCGTGGGCATAGGTGTAAAACAGGCCAAATCGCGAAGCTGCTTCAAAACGTTACATGAATTACATGAACAAGCTGGAGAGTGCTCAGTTGGTTGACATTGAAAACGTAGCAGTAAATACTGGCTGCTCTTACAGTAGACAGGCTTGCAGATACATTTTTTGCCACGTAGCACCCACCCTCATCACTGTCCATCTCCCACAAGCAATTGAGTCGATAGATTTAGAATCTACGAAATGTAAAAATCCTGGTGGTACCCCAAAGACACCTCTAATTCCTATCAGTGCAAGATGTGGGGGTCATCTGCCCTCCCTGAGCCCATAGTTAAGAAAGAACATTGTCTAGGAAGGAGGACTCTCCCCTAGGACACCACACAGTGGGCTCAGGCACTGGTGGCCTCCTAGCTTAGCTGGGCAGGATGAGCCAACAGCGAGCCAGGAACTGCCCATGTCAGATGTCAGGTGGGCTGGAGTATCACCAAGTCTAGGGCTGAGGCTGGAGAACCTTCACTTCCAGTGGCCAAGGAGTGGCATGGCCATTGAAGGCCACAGAGCAAGAGGAACCTAGGGAGCTGCCATGGGCCTCTGGAGTGGGAATTCCTTCTATTTGCTATTCCTCTAACTTGACGGACTTGTCTTCAGAAGAGGTGGGTAGGAGGCATGGACACTTGAGCATGGTTTTCTAGATTTGGCGTATCTCCTAGGAGGTGTTCCTTGAAGAACAAGGCCAAGTTAACCAATAGCAAGCAACTTTTCTCATGACAATAAGTAGCTGAAGAACTTCTGGAGGGAGCATTGGGCTGCTGTGAGGTGTGACGTTGGAGGCAGGCGGGGTTCATCTTGGAGTGGAACTAAGGAGAAAGGGAATTTGGGGGACAGGCATTAGCAAGAGATCTCGCCTTTCTTCCCGTTTCTGCTGCAGACATCCTGGACCATAAGACTTGGAGCAGAGAAAGTAAAGTATCCTAGGACATTAACTACAGGACATTCCACACAAGAAGATATCCTGTAACACAACAGTGAGTCAAGTTAATCAAAGTCTTGGGATGATTGCCTGATATATGACATGCCGTTAATTATGGCAGGTTTTACTGTCTTGTTCCCTTCTCCTTATTTACTTTGGATTGCCTCTTGAGTCAAGTGTGAAGTTGTTGTTCTCACCCCCATAGTCCAAAATCCAAGAGCACATCTGTGCCTGGGACATAGCAATCAAATAACCAGATGTGCAATGTGGAGCTAAATGAACCCAACAGCAAAAGACACAATCTGGCCAACAATCTTCTGCCATTTGAAACTATTTAAAAAAAATAACAGGAAAGCTTTTGTATTTAATTTGCTTGATCCATATTTTTTCAAGTATCATTTAAAAAAGGTATTTGACATTATTAAATGTTGAAGCAACTGTAACTTTCCTATGAGTCTGATGTGAGTGTAGATAAACAACAATCACTTTAGAAAACTATTGGACAGTTTCTCCTAAGGTTGACCATGTGACTACCTTATGAAATACTGATTTAGTTCCTATGAATACATCTAATAGACATATACAGACATGTACACCAAGAGAAGCATACAAGAATGCTAACTATTGATGCCCAATGTGGGGCATGAACCCATGACCCTGAGACTGAGTTTCATTCTCTACCAACTGAGCTAGTTGGGCTGAGTGCTGTGCTGTGGGGGGATGGGGAGGAGCACAAGATGTAATGGAGCACAGGTAATGCCATGGCTATGTGGCAAAACATAGATTAATAGAAACTGGTTAATTTAAGATGAAAGAGCTAGCTAGCAAGAAGCTTGAGCCATAAACCAAACCATTTGTAATTAATATTAAGCTTCTGAGTGATTATTTTAAAAGTGGCTGTAGGAATATGGGACTGGGCCAGGACAGAGAAAAGTGTCTGGCTATAAACTATCACACTATTCAAAAAAGTCAATGCACTGGTGTTTCTCTTGAACAGCTTCAAAACCCTTTAGGGAGGGCTCACCTCGCTCTAGCAACTTCCTGCAGTACAGCCTTTTGGACTTAGAATTCTTCAGGAAAACTCAAGCACCATGGAGAGTCTACACTTGTGGCAGTGTCCTTGACTGTTGAGGGATAGGAACAGATAGAGAATGGATAAACATTTCCATCTCTTGCTCTCCCTCATAGACCATTCTGAAATGCATTTCCTAAGTCCCCTGACAAAATGCTGGTAACCACATGTCCACATTCTATCTTTGCTTCTCTTCCACATCACTCTCTCTGCTCTGCTCTCCTGGTGCCTGGGAAAACGTTCCCACGCAGATTGTCAGCAAGCAAAATTTGCTCTCAAGCTCTCCTATGCGGAAAACCCCAAAGAAAGAAAACTCAGATTTGGAAACAAAATGAGTAGATAAGTTGTGGAATATTCATAGAAAGAAATGTTACATTCAACTGTTCTAAATAGGAATGGATCTACAAATACAAAGTTAAATCAAATAAGCCAAGCCAGCAGATGAGGAGGAAAAATATGAAATGCTGACTTATGGGTATAATATGGCTTTGAATGCATGAACTCCCACTCAAGATTAAGCCAATGAAAATTCCAGCATGAATGGGGAAGGGGACTCAAGACTCCATCCTTGGCAAAGCAGCCATTGGCAGTTGGTAGTTTCTGGATGAGGGAGAGCTATTCTCCTTTATAGACATGGACAGTGGTAGGTCCCATGCCTCCATGGATAGCCCCACAGCCATGCATATATGGGAAACACTAATTAGACTCATGGAGTAGTTATTAATAACAAAGAAAAAGAGCAGACATGAAATGGGGAGGGAAATGGGCTGAAGACTGATAAGGAGGGTTAGAAGGAGATAATGGTAGACAGATAGAATCAAAACACATTGTAGAAATGTATGCAAATTTCAACAAATAAATAAAAAGTATTACTTTTTAAAAGCCAGATATTAAAAGTTATATACTTAGGAATGGAATATGGCTTAGCAGTGAAGAGTGCTTACTGCTCATGTAGACAACACAGGTTCACTTTCTAAGACCCACATGGTTTCTCACAACTATCTATAAGTCTCTATAACTCAGAGGATTTACCCCATATTCTGATCTCAGTATTCTCTACATGCACATGGTATGTATGTGTATACCCAGCCACACCAACATGCACGTAAAATTAAGTAGATAATTAAAAACATAAAGGTTATACACTCTATATTCAATTTATGAAAAGTTCATATGCAGTCAGCTAAAACTGAATCTGGTGATCAGTTACCTTTGAGGAGAGGAACAGGGTAGTGATGGGTAGGTTGAATACTACAGAGGGATTTTGAGCATATAGTCAATATTCTATCTGTTGAAGTGGATATTGCTGAATCATGTTCACTTTTTAATAATTCCTTGAGTTAATCTTTTCAGTTTGGTCAGTTGTGTTGTGCTTGGAATAAACATGTTTTTAAATGAATTAGAAAAAACTTATGATGAGCAATTCCTTTGTCTTGTCCAATAACAATATTCAAGTTTGTTTCAGAGAGACTACCATTTATATTCATGGTCCATAGTATGAGACACCAACTTAGCTTTATGTCTAGATAGGAAACTAAAGGAATAAACATGGCCCTAAGGACAGTGTGTTTTTCTTTTCTTTTTTCCCCCATCTTCACTTTATTATTATTATTTATATACAAAGTCTAGCATGATCTGTTTCACTGGGTAGACAGTCTTTTATAATCCAAGGTCTCTTAGTCCAACTTAATGAAGCCCATGTCCTTCACATACTGACAGAAACACTTACTGCACGTATTCAGCCCATATTTTTGGATCAGACCGTGGTGGTTAGAGCAGACTTCGCAAGAGCGAGAACCCTGGGTGAACTTGTGTTGGTGACTCCAGGAGAGCTGCTGGTGACCCATCTTGCCTTCAGACAGCCAACAAGGAAAAAGGCTGGGACAGTGTGTTTCTAAACAGTGTTGATTGTCCACAGCTCCAGCCAAGTGGCATACCAGTAAAGTGGCACTGTGGAAAACCAAAAGCAAATGATGGCCTGCGAGAAAGAAAAAGGGAAGGAGGAAGGATGATGGGTGGGGAGAACGGGAAGGGGGGAGAGAAGGGAAAAGAAGAGAAATAAAGGCAGATTTATGACGTTGGCCATTGCCAGTGGTGTAAGTAATGCCACAGTGGATGTTCTCAGGGTCCCAAATGTCACCGAGTAGTTCACAACATGTCTGTGCATTTTCTCATCGTCTTGCAAGAGCCCGTTACCCCACCTGCTCTAAGCCATCAGTGTCACGTATGAAAATGATTCCATTGTGTTCTGATCATGGAATTTTTTGAGAAAAGCCAGAAATCTGGATTTGCTTGTGAAAATTCTTATCGTAAAATATGTTGACAAGTTCAAATTTTTCAAACACTTGAAAAATTGAGAGTGGGGAGAACATTTCTGAAAACTAGATCTGGCTCTCAAATTGCTGTTTTTGACCTCTGGTCTTCACATTAAACCCTCCGCAGAAGGAAGGTCTCCCAGCCTGAAAAATGAAGCTAACTTTTAGCACATGTACAGTGTGGCGTATGAAATCTCCATTGTATAACTGTAAGACTCAGAATTGAGGATTGGAAAACTTGAGTCTAGTCCAGTTTCACTGTTGAAATGATGTAGCTGGGCCTCAGTTTCTCCATCTGTACTAGGAAACTTTTCGAGAGAGTGTGCCTGGCAGAGCTTCCAGGATTATGTAATGAGCATGAGTGAGACTATCCTTGGGGACTGGACAAACTTCACAACATGGTAGATACTGTTACGTGGCCCTGGGCCACTACATGGGGGCTGCGGGCTTGAAATTCACTCCCTTTCTCTCCTCCTACTCTCAATTCACCAAATGGGAGCAGGATCCTTCAGTCCAGCTGGACTCAACAGTCTGCTAGGAAGGCCTGTCCTTAAGCTTCATGGCATTCAAGATGTCCCTGGGGGCAACAGTTCGGCTCTCTGAACTTTGTACAGAAAAAAGCCCCCAGTCCTGGCATTGGTTCTGGCCAGGCTTGTGCTGTGTGGCTCTGCCCTTCTTAACAAGGAATGTCATTCAGTGTCACTTCCTCCTATGAGTTCCTACCTCACAGGGATTGTGACAAGCAAGAAACATCAACTGTTTCAAAAGCTAACTCTGCCTCTGGCGCAAAGTGTCAGATGAAGTTAATTACACTATCCTTGACTTACCAAGGCGTCTATTCACAGTCGCTGGATGGCCATCTGCCCAGAGGTTTGTGAAAATTTGATTGTCTGTCTCTTTGTATTTAATTTGGCCTTCTTCCCTCTGTTATTTTAGAGATTCAGCCAGAGTTAATATTTCTACAAAATTCAGACAGGTTTGGACATGGAGATTCTGATCTAATCCAAATTTGTGGGCTCAGGAATGCTCCCAGGAAGATGCTGGCGTGTATTTTGCGGAAGAAGGCTCATACTAGGAGGAAGAGAGAGTCAGATTTGAATACCCGAGTGGGCAGTTAGGTAGCTTAATGTGTGCTGTTAGTCTATTTTAAAATGCAATACACACGTTCCCTGAAGAGAGAGGGTAGGTAACTAGATTATCAGTCTAAGGCAAGAGGGGGAAAATTCAGTAATATTGATCTTGATTTTTCTAATTTTTTGCTGTTTTGTTCATCATAGATCTTGCATTAATTTTGATGTTTGAACTAAAATACACAAAAATTTTAGATATAAAATTTTGGATTAAACTTTTTTTTTTTTGTCCATTTGTGTGTTTGTTTGTGGCAGGATTTGACTCTATAGCCCACAATAACCTGGAACTTCTTAGACTAGGCAGGTCTTGAAGACATGATGATTTTTCTGCCTCAGACTCCCAAGTGGTAGGATTATTGGCATGAGTCCCCATGACCAATTATCTGATTTATCCTTATTACTGCATTTTTTTTCAGAGACCTTTAGTTATTGCCCTTGAAGCCAGTATGCCTTCTCCATCCTGCCTACAGCTACTTTGCTGAGTCCAATGAGTCTGCTAATGACCGGTACTGAGTACACTTCAAAACTGTCCTGGATCATTTGAATCTAACTTAAAACATGACTCGTCTCACAAAGGCGTGGTTTCGTGGTAGGATGGACACAAACAACACCCACAAACAGAGACCACCGACCTAGGAATCCAAAACCCAGGGCTGGCTTTAATCTGGGTGCACCCAGGTAGATGGCTCCACGTATTACTGTTTCTCAGAGACTGCATAACTTTGGTTTAAAAAAAAAATAAGGAGAAGCACATTTTTTCTTTTCCAAATGGTCTCTAACATGTTATAATAAAATATTTATTTTATTTACTGAATCTTGGCAACAAATAATAAAATTCATGGGAGGAAACTCGATTGGGTTCACTGTCTTGGTTACTAGATACAATAGCTGGGAATCTGCTCAAATAGATCAAGACACCCCAGTCACAGTCACAGGAGAGCCCTGCTTTTATAGACCAGCAAAGGAACAATCCCTGGGACACGCCCATATCCTTTGCCTTTACAAAGTACTTTCTCTCTAATACCCCCACTCAGAAATCTGCCCAGCGTTCGTTTCACAGGTTTTTATCCAAATCAAAGTCTTATTTTATTGACTGACTGATTCCTTGAGAAAAGGTCTCAGGTAATCCAGGCTGATCTCAAACTCATTTGGCCAAGGCTGGTCTTGAACTCCCGATATTCCTGCCTCCACTCCCCTTCGCCCCCAAATGCTGGGATTACAAACAAACTTGTGCCACCATGCCTGACTCTTAAAGTCAACGTCTGTCCCAGGAACATCTGAAGAGGCCTGGCCAGTGCCTGGAGTTTGGGGGAATGATCTGCCTGCTTTCTGGAGACACAGGATGCATACATTTGAAGGCTTTGAGTCTCGTGAGCATACAGGGGCAGTCCTGGGCAGCTGCAGGGCATGGCAAGCACCTGCAGTAACAGGTGGAGGGGGCAGACGCAGACAGCAGGTGCTAATCAGGCACCAGAGCAGGAAAGCAAAGGCTCACTTGGAGCATCCTCTCCTCTTCCCTGAAATCTCACACTGGAAGCCACCCTTTGCCCTGCCTCACCTGGATGAACCATTTCAGGCCAGGAATGTGAGAATTCACACTGAGATTGTGCCTCATGCGTCTCCATCATTCACTTAGACTCTCCTCATTTCCTTGCCGTAGTAATTTAGTACTAACGCAACAGCTCTGACCCGTGGGAGGCTCTATGCACTCATTAAGTCTGGAAATGCCTGGGAAATGCATCTGCGAAGGCTCGGGGCCAACTGTCATCATTATCATCAGCCTACAGACACTCGCCCAGAAGGCAAAATATCGCAAGGTCTGAGATCCTGGCCCAAACCCATCCCTTCATTTCGACCTTGCCTCAAAATCAATGTCTTCTTAGTTTCTTTGTTATGGATTCTTCATGGCCCAGGATGCCAGCACCAGCACAGTGCAGTGGGCTGCAAAAGGAAGCCATGCACTCCCCCGGAGGAGCTCCTCCTGGAAACTGGAGCTGGCTGGAGCTTTCCTCCTCCTGCTTCTGCCCTAGGCTAAGTCACAGAAGCTTTGATTTGTCGTGCTTAATACAGGCTTCTCACTCTTTGTTTAGGTTTAGAAGTTATACATATAGTTCTCTCTCTCTCTCTCTCTCTCTCTCTCTCTCTCTCTCTCTCTCTCTCTCTCTCTCTCTCTC